AGAGAGAGAGAGAGAGAGAGAGAGGAAGAGGAAGCGGGCGGTGGAAGAGGGGGTCGGGGTTGGGTCACGCGCCCATAATATATTATTATGTGGTTGCTTTCCGCAACCTTATCTCCGAACGCCAGAAGAAGAAAAAAAGGATTATGTTTTGTTCGTGTGAACGAGTTACACACACTTCAGTCGAGTCAATTCATTAATCATGTTTTTTTATATCTTTTTTTATATTAGTTTTTAACGATTTTAGTTGTAGTTGCATAACCAACTACTTACTGCAAAAGATTTTCCATTTTGTGTGTTCTATGTTTGAATTATCAACATCTTTAATCCACTTTAAAATTAATTTTATCTTTTGCGGGGAAGGGGGGCATCGGACTACTAAAACATTAGTTGAGTGATTTGTTCTTGCTTTCTCGATTTTTTTCTTTTAACTTTTAGGCACCCATTCAGAAAATGAATGAAGAGAATGCGCACAGATTGGTAGACAAATTGAAAAGGAGGGGTGGGGATGGATGAAGCAGTGGGACATTAAAAGAGGTTCAGACTGAAAGGCAGACAAATTAATGGAGAGAGAGAGAGAGAGAGAGAGAGACAGATAAACAGACAGACAGACAGATAGACTAACAGACGGAGAGAGAGAGAGAGAGAGAGAGAGAGAGAGAGAGAGAGAGAGAGAGAGAGAGAATGGTGAGTCGGGTTTACAACAAAAAAAAGAAGAAAGAAAAAAAGTGTCACGCACCCTTACAAGGAGACGGACCCAGTGACTCTGGCGCGCTGTCTGGTCACTTGGCCCCCTCCCGACACGGCGCATTCTTTTACTTTTAGGCTAATCGCAAACAGACACGCACATGTGGTAACACACACACACACACACACACGACGCACACACACTCACACACAAACACACACACAAACACACACACCCTCGCATATATGTGTATCATCACAGACGCGAACACTCTTATGTCTCTCTCTCTCTCTCTCTCTCTCTCTCTCTCTCTCTCTCTCTACCTGATTGTGTTCGATGCCTCTCGTATTCTTTCCTCACGCTCTCCTCCAGTAGCTTCTGAACATTGCCAGGAAGCTCCAAGTCCTCCTCCTCTTCATCCTCTCGTTTCGTAGATGAGATAGTTATCTTCAGCACAGGTTCCTCTGCCCCTGCCTCCTCCCCTCCTCCTCCTCCTCCTCCTCCTCCCACAGCCCCTCCATCATCTGCCAGCAAACCATCATCCTCCACACCTCCAGGAAGCTCATCTCCACCTTGTGAAGTTACATAAAATTTAAAATATTATTCCCAAGTTTGGAAAATTATGAACTCAGCACATCCAAGCTCATGCTTGAAAGATCATGGGTAGGATCCCCTGCCAGCTAAAATGATTCATTCATGGTCAAGGTATTCTACCAAAATATTTTCAGCTCACCATGCCAGATATGGGGAATGGGTACTTAACACCAAGCACTCAACAGAGATTGAAATTCGTGCACAACACATCTGAGCTCTTACCAGGCGTCATCTTACATGTCACTAAGAGGGTAAAAATGGAATGAACATGATGGCAAAGCACACATGAAAGTTTAAACTTACATCTATCTATTCAGGAAGTCTGTATTTGTGTACAGTTAATACTGTTACTGTCTAACACGGCCACCCATTGTCAAGGAGAAAAGTGGCCATTCTTGACAGGTGGCCATCTTACACAGTGCCATTATGATGTAAAAAATACACAAGGGAAGAAATGGGAAGTGGCCATTTGTACAGGTGATTGTTTTATACAAGTGGCCATAGAGCACATTCGAATGTATTCTAGGCCCTCAACAGCCGGTCACTCTCTTAACAACCTTGGTCCAGACACACTTGCCAAACGGGGATCTAGACAAGAACAACCCAACATTCCAACTTCATACAACACTGCAAAACAAATCATTAAAAGCAGCAACAAACGAGACAGGATGAACAAATAGGCCCTTGGAAAGACAGGCAGAACAGTTATCAAACATATGACCACCACAAAATGAAAAAACAATAGCAACCACCTAAGGAGAAAGAAACAGACCATGATCTTCCGCCTACGAACAGAATATAAACAGCTCAACTTCCACCTGAACAGAATAAACCCGGAACTTTCCCAAATGTGTCTCTTGTGTGATTACGCATATGAGACTGTGGATCATCACCTGTTCCACTGCAGAGCCGTAAATGACATCAGAGCTACCCTTCTCCCCCTGAGACCTAACATTGACAACACACTCTACTACAACAACTGCAGCAAACCTGCACTTATCACTACAAGGCATTGGACAGAAGGGCAAGAGCCCAGCTGTTGCTGGATCGATAACAACAACAACAGCAACAACCTTGGTCATAAACACATTCACAGCCAGGTCTCCTTCACCACGATCCAGTGTCTTACCTGCTGTTGTAACAACAAACCCATTCACAAAAACTCCGACAGTCAGCCACAGACTCCACTTGCACCAACCAGGTTTTACACCAATCACTGGGGCATGATAGGCAAGCATCTTACCTCAATGACCATATCCTGCAACACTGTAATATGGCCAAAACCAATGAAGTAGTGAGAACCAGAATTGGAAACGCAATCGGGCTATATGAAGACCTCTTGACTTCAGTGAAAAGACGCAAACTGAAGCTACCCGGGAACATCACGTGATCACCTAAACAGGCCAAGACTTGCCTGCTTGGAACAGCACAAGGAGGGAGTTGATGAGGCAGGCAGAGGAAATGATGAAAAGAAAACATCAAAAAGTGGACTGGCCATGACAGGAACATCATATTGCGGAAAGCTGAGAACTGAAGAGAGTGGAAAAAGCTGGTCGTAAAATCTACCGTGGTGCACCAACGGTCAGCCAGACTACAGACTAAGCGCAGACGAAGTTAACTATGGCCATGAAGTTAGAACCACACCATTCACTGAAACATTGTAATGTGGCCATCTCCCTTACCTTGTGCTGTGGGATCCTGTAGACCAGCGGACTGGGAAGCTGCCGGGTTCTCTCTGCCAGCAGTGCCCGGTCGGGCGTTAGCTGCATGATCCCCGCCCACTCCTCCACCAATTGCAGTCAGGCCAGGGCCTAAAAAAGTTTTTTTTTAACTTTTGAATAACATGATTGTTCAAATAAACAAAATTGTCATTGAGAATATCTGTGCACCAGTCGACAAAATTTAGATAATTTAAGAGTCAGGCTGCTTTGACCCCGCCTTTCAGGTTCAACCCCGCCTGTTGCCTGTGAGACTGTGTTTAGAGCCTTTATTATGGTTCAGCTAGGTGAAAGTTACAGTCCATGACACAGGCAATTAAACATTTATACATGACATTTTATAATATGTGTCACGACTCGTTGGAATCGGGGGCTTGTCATTTTTGGGGCATGTGGAGTTACTGGCATCATCTGAAAGTTGGTTTATTTGCCTTGATTCCTATGAAATAAAAATCCATATATCTGGAATATAACTCAAGATATTGGCAATAGAAGCAAGTGAGGTCGCTTGGTTTCAGTGGTGAAATTAGCGAAAAAATGGCAGCCAAAGTTAGGTAACTCCAATAGCTAGAGTCCTTGAAAACAGAAAAATGACATATTTAGTGCCTTTAATGAACGTTTTTCAATAAAATTCACATGGAAATGTGTTTTTATATGGACATAAAAGAAGTTGAGCCATACAATAAAAATTCGATACAAATTTCCAAGCTGGTGAGAAAAATGCCCGTTTCTCCGGTTTCTGTATTTTGACGAGAGCCTGACTTCACCACGCTGCCTCAGACATATAGTGGAGTCCTCTTAAACTGAACAAGATTAATCCAACAACAGCAGTTCTATTTGAGCAACCTCTCTAAAACGGAAATCCCACAAAACCACCAAAAAAATCCAGCAGTGCAGCACATTTCTGTTCAAGTAGACTCCACTGTGGCGTTAAGCTCTCAGACTTGCAGCCCTAAGGTCATAGTATCAAATCCCATCATGGATTAAGCATTGTATCCTTGGGAAAGGCCCTTTAACAGCTTTCCTCACTTCACCCAGACGAGGATGGGTACCTGGCTACAGACAGCTAAAAATCTTGTCAGTTTGTTAGTGTTTAAGCATTTAATCATCTGCTTGGATTCTTCCGTGAAGCTAAGAATGTTTCCGAGTGTTCTCGGGTCAGCTGGGGTAATAATATATAGATTGTAAAGTGGATATAGCCCGCTGTCGAATTAGGATATACACTATACAAATGCTATTCATGATTATTACAAGAAACTGTTGTACAGATCACTCACGTACCAGCTTTTGGAGGAGGCAGAATCTTGCTTTCCAAGTCAGATTCAAACTCTTGACCATCCAGTTCTGACTCAGGGTCTTCCATTCCTGCATGACAGATTGAGATAAAATATTGGGAAATTCGATAACAACATTCGTCAACCCTTACAGAGAAAGAATATAAAACACAATCTACTGACAGATTCATCAACGATAAGACAGTTAAACCTCTATATGCTTCTCCCATGTCGTTCCTAAGTAAAACCAACGTATGCCAATCATTTTTCATTCCTATGACAAATATGTGTAAGCTTTCACCATTTCATTCCTATGACAAATATGAGTAAGCTTTCACCATTTCGTTCCTATGACAAATATGAATAAGCTTTCCGCATTTCATGCCAACGAAAAATCTGTAAGCAAATCACTTTTCTTTTCGTGTGCATTGTAATCCCTTTTCTTTCCCATAAAGAGCCTGTGTATGCTAATTACATTTCATTATTTGAAATCTTATGTTTTCTAACGATTTTTCCTTCTAATGTTAAACCTGTATATGTAATACATTTTTTTTTCCCTGTGAAAAATGGTTATCTTACACAGGTGGCCATCATGTACAATCATTTTTAGTCTGCATGCGAAACAAAAGTGATTATGAATTTTTTAATAAAGACAAGAGTTCAAGTACAATAGACATTGCCGTGTTCACAGCAAGACTGAACAAGATCAACATAAGTTTTTGGGGGGTTTTTTGCCAAATAGATTAAAACAACAAACAACAGTAACACATATATGAAGTAGACAGGGATACTGGGCGACTGAAATCACAAATTCAAGACATTCGTGAAACCAAAATGGGCAAAATGCGAAGAACGAAGAGCGCGGGAAAAAAAAAATCTCAGGCTGTATCTTTCTCACCGAGGTCATGAGTAGATGCTTTCGAGCCACCGCCAACATCTTCCTCAGCCATATCATCAGAGGCCTGTGATTCGCCTTCTTTGTCCTCTTCATCTTCACCTTCTTCTGCTTTCTTCTTTCCTTTTTTGTACAGCTTTTCTAGTTCATTATCCATGGTTGACAATTCTGTGCAGAGGAAAGGATTGTTGGGAGGGCGCATGAAAAACAAAAATATAACAAAGGAGAGATTTGACAATGAATTGACAGCAGCAACAACAACAGCACCTACAGCAGGAGGAGGAGGAGGAAGAAGAGGAAGAAGAGGAAGAAGGGGAAGGGGAGGATGAGGCACGTTCAATGGTATTAGTTGCACTGTTTTGTGGCATCGATATTCACGAGGTTAGACAACTTAGATATAAAGTACAACAAATTCTGACCATTTCAGAAATCTGGATTTATGAATTTATTTTAAAAAACTGGCATCCCTAATATACACGACAGGGGTGAAAGGGTTAAAAAAAAGAAAAGAAAAGAAAGAATGCAAGAACTGATTGATAGAATAATTTAGAAATAGTGTCATTTACCTGGGGCCCTCATTACCATCCCTCTCTTCCCCCCAACAGACAACAGACAACAGGCAAAGTCAGTGCTGTGTTTTGAGTGTTACAAATTCAATATTGTGTGTTACAAATTGAATGATGTGTGTTGTGTGCTACAAATTCAGTGGTGTGTGTTGCGTGTTACAAATTCAATATTGTGTGTTACAAATTCAATGGTGTGTGTTGTGTGTTACAAAGTCAGCGCAGTGTGTTGTGTGGTACATACGGGTCTGGGTATCATGCAGCTTGTTGACCAGTTTGTCCAGTGTGTTGGACAGGCCGGAGATGAGCGTCCGGTCAACCTTGACCCCAAGTTCCGACTCAGCCTGGGAATGTCAAAACATTCTGATGAACCATCTGAGGCACAAGTGAAGCTATCTCAATGATGGAGAGGAGGAAGAGAGTGGAGACAGAGATGGGGGAGAGAATGAAAGGGGTATTGGGGAGAGGGGAGACAAACAGAGAGAGAGAGGGGTAAGACAGGGGAAACCAACTGAGCTGCCAAGGTGCAAGATTGAGTTGTATCTGGAAGAAAAAGTGAGAGGCAGAGATACAGAGAGAGAGAGAGAGAGAGAGAGACACACACAGAGAGAGAGATAGAGAGAGGCAGAGATACAAACATAGAGAGAGAGAGAGAGAGAGAGAGAGAGGGGGGGGGAGAGAAGAATATGATACATATATGGAGGGTGAAAAAGATTTAAGGAAAGAAAAATAGAGAAAGAGAACGATAGTCTGAGGTGTCAAAGTACTTGATGAAATTATGTCTCACAGAAAGAGAGAGAAAGGGAAATAGAGGGAGAAACAGACAGAGACAGATAGAGAGACAGAGAGGGTGAGAGAGGGGGAGGGGATATAGAACAACATCTGATTCTTTAACATTCTTGAAGGAAGTATGTCCGAGAGAAAAAGAGAAAAAGAGAGAGTGAGAGACGGGGCGAGACAGAGAGAGGAAAAGAACAAGGCAGTTAGAGAGAGAGAGAGAGAGAGAGAGAGAGAGAGAGAGAGAGAGAGAGAGAGAGAAAGAGAGAGAGAGAGAGAGAGAGAGAGAGAGAGAGAGAGAGACAGAGAGAGAGACACAGAGAGAGAGAGAGAGAGAGAAGGAGACAGACAGACAGACAGACAGACAGACAGACAGACAGACAGACAGACAGACAGACAGACAGACACAGAGAGGGAGAACAACATCAATGGCCCTAATACACATGATCACTGCACGAAGAGAAGCAGTATATGCCTACTGCACAAACCTCTTTAATTACATTCTCAATTTCGGACTCCCAGTTTCTCTGTAGGTTCAGCTTCTGCTGCATGGAGGACAGTTTGCCCAGAGACTGGTGGAAGCGAGCTTTGATGGCATTGATCTCTGGCGAGAGAAAAGGAAAAATAAACATTTCTTCTGGCCTCCAGGTTTCATCTGTTTGACTTCAATTTCAGTATTCCTGAACGATAAATTCATACCCGAGTTTGTCTTATCCAAAGTAAACAAAAGCAGCCCATCAATCAACTATGAGTCACTACGCATGGAATTTATGGGAAGACAAGAAGACATCATTAACGCAATAAGTAGTAGACATTTCAACAACAGCAAAAATGGTGCTGGGAAGAACGACAGAAAAATTCAAAAGTAGAGGAAGAAAGCAAAAGTAAAGAATCTGAGGACGCTTCTTTCTTCTTTGCGTTTCCTTGCCAGATCTCAGGAGTGGTCGACTGCTGGTTCCTCAAACTGCAGTGCAACTAATCCTTACACGTGTGACCATTTTTCCTACTTCAGCTATACTGAAAAAGAAAAACGAGGAAAAAAGGAAGAGCATGTAATACTGGAAGTATAAATATGCACCAACATTCTGCCATAGTTCTCTACTAAAAGAACAGAGGGGATACGGAACCATCCCTTCTGCAGTGAAGTCGACCCTGTAACCTGATACAAGAAAGCATATAGCAGAGCAAGCAAAAACAGGTGGCTGATGCCACAACATCCTCTCACCTGCGTCAAATTCAGCTAACAGCTCGTCATCTTCATCTTGCACTTCTTGTAATGTATCCTCCGTCTCACCATCCTCTTTCTTCGTTTTCTCCTCATTGTCTTTCTCTTTTCCGTCCTTCGCTTCTTCTGCAGTCTCTTCCTCCTCTTTTTCCTGGGAACTCAGCTCCTCCCGTTTCTCCTTCATCCGCTGGTGAACTCCTTCTAGTCTCCGCTGTATCTCCTCCTGCCTCTTTTTGTTGACCTCAACACCTCGCAGGTACAGCGTCCAAAGGTCTTCATTCTCTCTGGGTTTTAAAAAAAGTGATAAGGAATCCCTTGCCAGCTCTCACTCCATCAACACAAGTCACTCATCCATGCAGAGAGCCATACAAGAGGGCTGAAAACTTCAACGATATGAACAGATCCATCACAAAAAAAAAAATTATCTCAGCTAGACACATGTGCATCTCCGATACAGGTGACATCGGGGGGGGAAGAAAAATGGAAAGGTGATTTGTGTATATGAGGTTTCCAGGCACTTAAATACTTTTCCACATCATATTTTGGAGATGATGTACAAGAGTCATCCGAAAGAACCTTTTTTATCTTTTATGTCTTCCCACACCAGAGGGTGTCCCACAAAAGTTACTCACTTTAGAAACTCTAACAAACATGTCTAACTAACACACGCCAAACAAAAGGAAACAGGATAGAAATACAGTTGAAATTGTACAAGACAGCCACCCATTGTTTAGAAGAAAAGTGATCCTCTTAGACAGGGGGATATCTTGGACAGTGTCATTATAAATGTAATAAAAAACCAAAAATTGGGAGGAGAAGAGGTTGTTTGTCAAGTTGATTGTCTTGGACAGGTGGCCATAACAGCAGGTTAAACTGAGCATCTTCTTCTTTTCAATGCATATTTTCCAGACGTTGAAGGGAATGTTTTAAAAAAAGCATTTTTTATTGTACTACATGACCCTGAGACATGGACAGATAGAAACCCCCTGGCCACCTTTCACTGAGCCCGCTGATGGGCTTCACACAAGGCGATTTTTCACCGAGCCAGCTTATGTGGCATAAAAAAAGGAGTCCGGATCGAATTCTCATCCTAAAATACTCACCCAAAAGTTTTCACAAATTCCTCCTTGGCCATGACCTTCCGCTGCTGGATGGGGAACAGTTTATCTATGGGCTGAGCTGAGGAGGGGGAAATGACAGGGAATACAATAAACAGACAGTCGTCCAGCTGTTCAGATGTACTAAACCCAAAAATTTGAAAAAAAAGGTTTCATTGTGGTTTCTTCATCTGCAGTATCAGTTGCGCGAGCTCAAGAAAAATTTTGTTGAAGCAAAAAAAGATACATAATTTAGGTAAAATTTTAATAAAAATGAAATAAGTTTTTTCTCTTCTGAGAAACTTTTCTTTGCGAGCTTAGATCAGATACCAATGAGACGCTTTTACATTAATTGATCTAACTCTGAAGTGAACTCTGACATTATACTTTCAGCAGCTTATGTTACACAGAAATTGACCAAAACTATTCTCCCTCTCTCCATATCCCTCCCTCTCCTCCAAATAAACAACATCTCTCTCTCTCTCTCTCTCTCTCTCTCTCTCTCTCTCTCTCTCTCTCTCTCTCTCCCTCTCCCTCTCCCTCTCCCTCTCCCTCTCCCTCTCCCTCTCCCTCTCCCTCTCCCCCCTCTCCCCCCTCTTCCCCCATGGAAGTTTGACTTGTTGTTCACCTAGTTTCACCCAAGGAATGATGTCACCATGCCACTATTGTTCTATTGTTGTTTCTACTGTTGTTGTACATAAACATAACATTTCACACAAGCAACGTAAAATCTTTATTAAAAAAACACTTTGGGAGTTTACACTGCAGGACACGCTATTTCAATAAAAACACTCACTCAGAAGCTCTTTAGCAACTCTCGACATTTCTTGCTCCAGGGTTTTGTCCAGGTTTGTAGGAGACAGTGTTGCTGAGGAGAACAAAAAGAACATGAAAACACCATTTGACAATATAAGGAAAATTAACTTCGGGAAAAATAAAAATAAAAATTAGACTATACAAAAGTACAATAAAAATACTTTTAACATTCCCTTCAACATCATGAAACAAACAAGGGAATTTTCATGAAACGAAAAAAGTGAATCTTTATGAAAAAAAAGAGGTTTTTTGTACAAGCAAAAGTTTTATGGCACTTGCAACACAAATAGGTCATATGGTGCCAAAGATTGGAAGTATTTGTAACATACAAAGAAAAGAAAGTGGAAAGATAAGGACAGTACATGTTTGATGGAAAAGAAGGAGCAGCAAACCACAACAGAGCACCCACAACCGCCCCCCCTCCGGAAAACGTATCAGGTTATGAGGAAGTCTGTAGGAACTCATGAGTCCTACAACCCCCCCCCATAAGCTGTTGATGACTAGAGTGACAGGAAACAAAAGCCACTCACACTTCTATACAGTGAAGCAAAAACTATGTTGTCAGCCTATGTACTAAGACCAAGTTTGTTTTTGTTTTTATTTTATTGCTTTTCCTAATCTGCGGTATTAGTTGTATATTATGAGTGCAGCATCCTGGTGAAATCGGGAGCTGGTCAAAATAATGAAATCAAAGAAACCAATATTTTTTTCTGCCAGTTGGGTGATTTTTTTGTTGAATTTTCTTGATTGGTTCAACACCTCTTATGTCCATTTACAAACAAAATGTTGATCAAAGACACAAATAAATGTAAATTTGCAGTTTCCAAAGACACTCAAGCTTTGGTTGAATTTCAGATTCTAAATATTAAAAGAAAAGAAATATACATAACATAGGTGTAATGTCAAAAATTAAAAAATTTCTTCTTTCCACAAAAATTTGGCTTTCTGGACTTAGAAAAATTAACTGTTTGCCTATGGTATATCAAAAGAGTGACGGCATCAGTAAGTGAGACTCCAACACTAAGTTTGCAACAAAGACATTACCTTTGCTCCCATAGCGCTGTTTAGCTGCTGCAAGGATGAGCTGTTCTTTACGCTGCCGTTCTTGAAAAGAAGAAATAAAAACAAATTGGGGGGGGGGGGTATTAGAGCTTTACAGTACTTGCAACACAAATATGTCATATGAGTGACAAAGATTAGAGGGGTTACGGGAAAATAACACATACCAAAAACAAAGAGGAGAGATAAAGATGATGATGATTGATAGGAAAGAAGCAGCAAACCACACCAGAGCATCCACCAACCAACCACGAAAACAACTCTGTAGATACTGGAATTAAATTGCTGTTTATAAAACTAGAAAGGTGAGGTCTGTGCTCCTTTTTTTTTAATCGTTGATTTAAGATTCTGTAATTCCAAGCTGAGCGTGCCGCAAAATAAAGTTGTTAAAGTGTTTTTTTAGTTTTAGTAGAGGTTTTACGGTGCTCTCAACTGCATAAGGTCATATGAGCGCCATAAGACTAGAGGTGTTACAAGAGAGTAACAAACATAAAAAAGAAGACGGGAAGATAAGGACGATAGAGGTTTGATAGGAAAGAAGAAGCAAAGCACACCAGAGCATCCACAGACCATCCAATATATTTTTTTTTAAGAGTTAGTCTGGTCTTTCCTTATAAAGAATGATCACTGAAAAACATGGAGTCTTTCAATTCCTTGACAGTCTTTAGTAATACATGCTGTTTCTAGAACAACCAAAGGAAGCGAATTCAATATTTTCTACAACTGCATGGCATTTTTTTTTCAGTTATCATGCACTCTCTGCTATTTCGTTAAAGGCAAATTAATGAGGGCAAAGTCAGTAAAAATGCATTTACTTGAACGAGTAAATCAACTGTAAACTAGCTGAAACCACCAGCAGTAGCCTCTGATGAAAGCAACCCGGCCTTATCTTACCAGCCTTCTCCTCCATGTAGTCATGGAACTGGATCTCGGTCAGTAAGGGGTTGCAGGTGATGGCCACAGGTTTCCGACGTGCCGGGGCCTTAAGGTACGGGTGACGACAGATGCGTGAGGTCATTATGGTCACTGTGTACACACACGTCTCTGCCTCATCCACACGAGCCAGATAATCTTCAGAATTCTCCTCACACATGAACTGTGTGGAAATACCATTCATGATGATTTTCCAGAGTGTCCAAAATTTGAAATTAAGACAAAAAGAAAGAGTAATATACTCCCTATGTTGTAATCATTATTTCTGTCATTATTACCACCATTATCTTCACCCGTATCATTATTATCCTGATCAATAATTGTATTATCACCAACATCATCATTGACAGCACAATCTCTCTTTCCATCATTACTACCGTCGTTATTCTCATTAACCTAGTCAATAGTTCTGTCAGTAATACATGTTACAGCCATTGTGCTATGGCTCTTAACTAGAAGTTTGAGTTAAAACAACATGAAAGATCGAAACACATCACTGTCAGTCCATTTCCTCCAAGCCTGCCAAATGCATGAGGCACTCATAAGGAAAGATTGGCAACCCTAAAAAGGGAGTCCCAGAACTCTATTGAAGCTTAAAAGACCTGTGGCAAACAGTAGCCTTCGCACTACAGACTAGGATATCCATTTAAAGATGAACAAGAAAAAGATTTTCAGTCCATTTGTGGTTAATCAATCTCATCACTTTGCCTCCTTTCTAAGTAATCCCAGATACAATGTATATTTTATGAAAAAGAATTGAATTGAATTCATTCTACACGTTTTTCGCAGATTTCACAGTAAGAAGTGGAACTGAAGAAATAAAACCAAATACAGCCAACACAAGAAACTTCTCTGTTATGTGCATTAACTCTTGCCCCACCCCACCCCAGCAGAGACTAGGTCAGACTTTGCACTGAGAAGGAGAGGCCCAGAAAAAGATAAATGTACAAACTGTACTATTTTTTTACAGAAACTTTGTTTCAACACACAAAACATTTTTTAAATATTATTGATGGCTCCGTGTCATATATAATTTCTGTTGTTTCCACAGATGTCATGTTACTGTAAAATCTGTAAGCTTCATATGATGTGGGCCAATGACCTCAAACACTGAATAAGACACCGACCTTCGTGGGAGTGGAGCATTCTCTCATTCAGACACATCGGTCAATGTCAGACATTAACGGACAAACTACCCCTCACTATATATCTACAAGACAAACATTCACATTCAAAAAGTTAAAACATCAAAATGCCTGCACATTCTAAAAAAAAGGGAAAAGAAAAAGACAAAGCAAAGCTAAATTTGCCTTTTGTACCATTCCTTGTAACTCGGCAGGAATAGTGGACTCAAAATATGGATCCACAAAGGTCTAGTATCACTAGTATCACACTGTTCAAAACTCACCCTGACTTCTGCCCTTCGTGGCTGGCCGGTCAGATCACACTTGGTCCCCAGAGTGTAGGTCTGAGAGTGGTAGCGGCTGATGGAGGCCTTGCTGCGGAGCCTTTCTTCCTACAAAGACAAAAATCCAGGAACAAATAAATGTATGCCAATAAGTGCCAGGATTTTTTTACACAGCTTTCCCCAAGAGAAGTATTATTGAAATTTCAAACATGCTACAAGGCTTTTGCAAGCATGTGGCGATAATATTAAAGCAAAGTGTAAAAACATCAACAACAGCATCCGAGTATTTTCCAATGACTATTCATTGTGTGTGTCTCTCTGTATATAAATGTGCCAGTGTGTGTGCATGTGAGTGTACACCTACGTGCACGTATGTGTGTTTGTACGTGTCCGTGTGTGTGCATTGATGATTATGTGTACATGTATGCATTTACCAGAGTCCACAGACTTCATAAAAGCTAAATAAAAACTTGGGGGGGGGGGGGGGGCCCATGTCCAGATTTTTTAAATGCCAAATGTTAGTTCATTATACATATAAGAATAAGCAAAACAGATTTTCTTCATTCACATCTTTGTAGGCATGTTTCTTTTGGATAAGCTTATGGCACACTGAAGCGAGAAGCCCACAAACAGCACACATGCACAAATGGAAACAAAGCTTTTAAATGTTCAAAATGAGGCATGTGATGTGCCACAATTGGGTTTCATTAGTCAAAGCTGAAGCTACAAGTCATCTTAACCAAGTGCGTATATTTTCAGCAGCGTTTGTACCTCCCACAGTCCCAGGAACATATATTCTCAGTTTCGAAGGGTATCAAATTTGTGCATTTTTCGAAAACAGCGAACCTAATTAAACTTAAATTTTCATAATTTTTGTTCATTTACCTTTAAACATTATAATATGTTATTATCTAAACCTCATTACAAAAACACTACATCACTTTCTAGACAGCATGCCTCTTTTTCTGAAATACTGCTGTATTGGCTGGGACTGGGGTTAGGGAGTGCACAAAATGGCTGAGGCTGGAAGGGTTAAACCTTTTTTTTTTACTTTCTATTTCACTATAAGAAATATACTCATTATGCAGATGCATTGGTCATCACCAAACATTGACAAACAAACTATACATGATCATGTGCTGCTTCACACTCACCCTCGCAGTCTCATTATTCCAGTCAAAGTCTTCGGCATAGTTGCCCAGGTAGATGATGTTGCCTTTAATCTCCCCATCTTTGAGGTCAAACACAAAATCAAGTTAATGAAGTTAGGTCATGGATCAGAAGTATGGAGAAAAGGAACAGGGAGTCTTATACATAATAATAATAATAATAATAATAATAATAATAATAATAATAATAATAATAATAATAATAATAATAATAATAATAATAATAATAAAAATAATAATAATAATAATAATGATAATAATAATAATAATAATAATAATAATAATAATTGCATTAGTTTAGCCAATATCCACACTTTGCACATGTTCAGGATGGTGTCAAGAACAGCTTGCAAAGAAAACGTGACTAGATCAAATTTTTTTTTATGACAAAGGTTCTTGTGGATTGACTCTGACAATATAGAACCAGACAACTGTTTTGAGTAGGATAAACATCTTGTAAGTAAATAATTGAGTGCTAATAAATACCTAAATGTCATTTACTTTCTTTTCTTTTTTGAAAGAAAGTTGGGGGAGAGGAGAACCATTCAAGGTACATCTCTTCATTTTACATTTTCGACTTTTGGGAACACTGAACAACGTTGCAATGCTTACCTTCCATGTGAAACTGGCGGATGAACTTGCCATAGCAAAACTCGTAACTCCACCAGTCTTTTGACTGCAAAAGAAAATTTTTTAAAGTATCTATAGTAGAGCGAGAGACATTGACTTGTTATCCTTCAGGCATATCGTTGTATAACTTTTTCATCAAATGAAAGACAGAGAGAAACACACTTCACAGTAGATCCTTGTTCTCCATTACACAAGTTTTATTTACCTTTTAATTATTTTCAAGAAAGGAGCCAAACTGTAAATTTTCATACCCACCCCCGTCCCCCAAAAATAAAGGTAACATAATGTTGGACTCATATCTGCTTTATTCTCCTTTTCTTTTAGGATTTTGTCAATGGCTACAACACTGTTATATAGCCAATTAGGTCTGTTTAAATGCCTGCTACATAAGAATTTGTTTTAAATTACCCATTATAAGAGATCAGACAAGCAGATTTATTGTACAACTGCCATAGCTGAAATCCCATTACAACCAAGATTTTTGTGCATGGGGTCCAGTGTATACAGACACGATGAACTCACTGCCAGTGACAAAGAAGCAAAATTGCTATTCATTGCTTTTCAGTAAAAGTAAATTTTTACCCCTATTCTCGAATAACCCAACAGTCTTTCACGCATGACGTACAGAATTGGCAACTCAAATGCAGTCCCACAAAGAGTGCGACCCTGGATATGTGTAGTAGTAGGTCAATAATTTCAAAACGGGGGGTGGGGATAAAATTAACCTTTTACTGGGTTGTTTTTTTCTTTTGTTTCCTACTCAAAAGTAAGAGTTGAGCTCTTTCACTTTACGATCTCCATGAAATTCCAACAGTGTATCTACCCAATTCAGTCAAAAAGGGGGGAGGGGACGCTTCATTTCTTTCTTGAAATCATCTTCCAGAATTGCTCAATTTTTGTGTAGAGTAGTCTTTTTACTTTTTATAGTATCACCAATTGTTGTAACAGTAAAATTAAAACCAAAAAAAGTGTTTGACCTTAATGTGACCGAAATACCGCTAGAGTCGGACATTAACATTATTTACTTTTGTGCATTGTCTATGTTTTCTTCACCTCCCTCATCTTTGATTTTTACCACTGGGTCCAGAGCTCTCTTTTGTCCATAATTCTACCTTTGAAACAACCGGGTGTGTCTCCAAGAGTGCCCATTCATACAAAACCAAACAGCTTTATCACTGAGCAACACAGTTAAACAAGGTATCTTTTTGAACGACTACATTATCCTGAACTATGAGCACAGGGTATTCAACTGACCTTGAAGAGGCAATCCTTTAATCCTAGGGGCTTCAGCATCTCCACAATACCAGACTCTATGGCAATCTTTTCCTCCTCTTCCTTTTTCTTTTCCTCAATTGAGTGGTCTGGAAAAGTGCACTGGTACTGTTGGCCATACTTGGACATCACATGAACTGCTCCAACAGGTGCATCCTGATTTTTTTAAAATAGACGAATGCTCTTTTCTTTTTTCTTTACACAAGACTTTGCCAAAAGGTGGGGGGGGGGGGGGGGAGTGTGTGTTTGTATGAGGACTTTTTAAATCAACCACTACTTATAGGAAAACATGTTTTCTACTACAACTGAAAAATGAAGGAAAAACTGCTTAACTCACTCTCAGCCTTGCACTTTTTAAATTTTATTTATCTGAAGAATGACGGCCATTTTGACGTCTATTTTTTTTAAATCATTGTGACCTATTTTGATCAGTCATCAATGAAACTTAGCATCATGTTAAAAGGGCTAGAATACGGCACAAAGAAAAAGAAATTTTTAAAATATCTTGAATATTTTTTTAATGATTTTTTTTTGCAAATGAGTCTAAATTGTTAGAAAAAAAAATTGTTTTAACAAAATGAGATTATTGTTTGTACATGCATGCCTTTTCATATCAGTTAGTCCATAAAATAGGCTTGAACAACAAAAAAGATCAATGTAACTTACTTGGAAATACAAAAATACTCTAGTGTTATTGACAAAATTCTTCAAATTGATGAAGGACCTTTCTATGCAACATAATTTGCTCTGGTGACCAACCTGGAGTGAAAGTATGCCAAGCAAGTCTTGTTTACTCAGAGAGGAGCAGTTACCAAATCCTCCTGGGTTTAAAACTATTGTCTGTTTCTTTAATTTACAAAGAGTTTGAAGAGAAATTTGCAGCTTTTCAAAAGATCAAGATTCTAGGCCTAGATTCTATTCTAACGTATCTGTAGACTCTCTTCTCACTTCAGTTCTGTACTTTAATTTTGTTCTCTTCTCTTACTTGGCCAAGACTTGACCGTAGCCTAGATCTAGATCAAGACTGAGAAGAAAGAAGAATCGGGAAGAATTTCCACCTGTCCGGTAGATCTACCGTGGTCTCCAAAATCCGTATTAAATCTAGATCTATCTACATGTACATCTAAATAAAAGTAAATTACGACTGAATAACAAGCAAGCATAGAATGATCATTCCTTTAAAAAAAAAAAATGATTCCACTTACACCAGAATCTACTTACTTAGAAGTTTAGTTAGATCTATATCTAGAATGTAGATTTAGATCTCTACTTTGAATATAGGGTCTAGATCTAGTATAGTAACCCACCACCATCATCATGTCCATGTAGATTGGTGTGGGAACAATAGATCTAGGTTTATATTATATGGGCCAGTTTGTTCTCAGTGTCACTGAGAATAGTTTCTGGGCCTATTCCCAGTGACACTGGGAACAATTCTGGCTTAGACTCTATTGCCAGTGGTTTCTGGGCCTATTCCCAGTGTTACTGGGAATAGTTTCTGGGCCTATCTGGGAATAGTTTCTGGGCCTATCCCCAGTGTCACTGGGAATAGTGCTTTCCTTTCTGAATACTGTCCATCGGTGTAGATGATCAAATTGACCAAAACAAAGAAAAAGATTATGTATTGTATAGTTTTATACATCTAGCTCAAAAGTAAACTTATTTGGTCTCTTCAAAGATGCTATGGTTATTTCACTTTTCGAATCGAGCCAAACTACGCGGGTCGCCATTTTCTTTGGCCACCTGCGCAGGCGAGTCTTTTGGCTATTCTCACCCAGTGTGCGTTCACTGTTATACCTAGGCCAACCAGTGTAGCGTTCACCCTAAACAACAGAATTCTACACTGTGATAACAGAATTGTAGAATTCTGTGCCGTGAACAAACGTTCCATAACTACTGTTAGCCTAAAAGCGTGCAATTTTGTCTGTGGGCAGTGGAGAGAGAGAGAGACTAGAGAAAGAGAGAGAGAGGAGTAGGCCAGCGCGAGAACTTCCGGGCAAAACAAAATGGCGGCCCGCATCGTTCGGCTCCATTCGAAAAGTTAAATAGCCGTAGCATCTTTTGTAGACGACCAAATTAATTTACTTTTGTGTTTCAAAATAATTTTTTAACCTTGTTTTGCCAGTTTTGGTCAATTTGATCGTCCACACCGATAGACAGTATTCAGAAAGAGACAGAGAGAGAGACAGAGGGGAGGAGTAGATCTTGCGAGAACTTCCGGGCAAAACAAAATGGCGACCCGCGTAGTTCGGCTCGATTCGAAAAGTGAAATAGCCATAGCATCTTTGTAGATGGTCAAATTAGCTTGTAAACTTTTTTGGTGCTATAACTAAAGGCCGTCGTATTCGGACTCGAGTCCGAATAACATATTTTCATATTCGGACTCGAGTCCGAATAAAAAAATTTCTTATTCGG